TTATAATGCACCATTTCAAAGTTTAATGGCGTATCAAATGATCAATTCCCACAGTGATCCATATTATGTTAATGTTCTTCCTGGTACGTTAAGTATTGTAGAATTTGCCGTCAATCTATCTCTAGTCAACGCTAATTATAAATCAGGTCAAGCCAAATCGATCTATAATTTTGTAAATAGTTTTCGCGGCATCGATATTGGCAGAAATAGAGTGTAAGATTTTTCTTCTAATTGAATGTGTCCATAACTTTAAAAGACTGAACATTTAATTTAAAGTTTGATTTCAAGTACTGTGTACTTGTGTTTTTGTAGACTCTTATTAAAAAGATCCACACTGCATGTTACCTATAACGATCTTACTACGTAAAATTTTTATGTTATCGATCACTAATTTAAATAAAAGCGGACATTAACGGTAATGTTGGTTTTGGAATAGCGATATCATCGATCTTACTGGTATTAAAATTTTTTTGTTGATTTGACCAAATTTCAAAAAAAAAAAGAAAATCACTTTCCACAGAAAAAAAAATGGTTACACCCGAAAACGCTACGAATATCTATTTTCCACATGTTTTATCAGCTTCATTTATCTCAAGATTAATCGTAACATTTATCAAGCATCTTTTATTTATGAGAGGCCAAATTCCATGGTAAATACGAGATTCTTATTTGTAAACATCCAGTACTTTTATTTGGATAATATGACTTATAAAAATTACCAAAAGTCCCTTTGACCAGATTGAAAAATTAGTGCAAGGAACTGATGATGTAAAAAAATAATTTGTATAGTATAATTTGTATGCTCGTTAAGCCCAAAATTTTCATCATATTTATTTTGTGATATAGCAAGGAAATGGACAACGCCAAAACGCGAAGACGAAGAAAATAAAGGAGGTTAGTTGAATATTATTAGAAAAAAAACAATCTTATTACGAAATATAAAGATAACAAACTTCCATCGATCAAAAAAAAAAGTTGATCACGAACTTTCAAATTTTATCCGAAACGGTTATGACTACACTTCAACATATCTTTGCCTATCACAATTTCTTGGATTCTTTGCATTTAACCATCTTGTTTGGAAATACACCAACGAATCCCAAAGAAATTTATTTTTTAGATTTCCTTAATGTGTGTGCAGATTCGATGTTAGAGCTAAATGCACAACAGCACGAAGATTTTAGTGAAAGAAAATTGCTTAGGTCTTTATTGGGGAATTTAAATGAGCAAGAACCTTTACGTAAGTAACTATACAATTGCCAAAATGTTGGATGTTTCTTATGAACACTAATATTATAACTTGTTTAATGATATTAGATAATACTCGATTACATTTGCTTATTAAAACATCCAGAAAAAATTCTCCGCCTGAATTAATTCCTAAACAACTGTTAAAACTTAAATTTGCTAAAACCAATACATTATTTCTGATTTGTGAAGGCTTGGTAAAGAATCTATTTAGTCAAGATGACGATGTTAACACCAGACATGAATCCTCTGATGATGATTTGATTTGGTATCATTTTAAAACGACACTGAATGGGTTTGCAGCTATTTGATTGATATAGAATGTTTGTTCCGGTATTATTTGTCGTCATTCTCATTACTTTATAAAATACTGTGGATATTGAAATTTGCTGGATGTTAACAATTCATTATTATGCAGAACTACAATTATTACAGGAATTAAAATTTTATTAGAGTTGTTTGCTTGATATGATTTATTCTGCAAATTAATTTAATAAGTATCAGCGATTGAAATACGTAGTATGGACGAGGTTTATGGATTACAATATAGTTTAAAAGATGTCCATTTACTTTTAAGAATGGTTGATATATTGAAAATGCCCTAGATAGTTTAAAACATTTTATAAGAAAACCGATTTATACGCCTAAAGAAAGAGCAAAATATTTTATTTGAATTTATATTTATATTTACATTTATATATATTTTTTAATAAAAGCTAGCATCTATTGCTGTAATGTTGCTTAAAATATGGGATTAAGCAATTTATACAATTATATTTGAGCGTTATATACCTGTTAACGTTAAATTTGTGCAGTCATCACTAGAATCGGATTTTATCTTAGATTATTAGCTTTTATACAACAAAGAAAGATGGGTATATCGGTATATCTTAATTGCAAATACAAGAGAGGTGGTAGATGAAACGGTTTTATCAAGACATAAAAAGTTCTTGAGTCTCCCACTAGTGTGTTATAATTACAATTTAGCACCCAAAACATGTATAAAAAAGGGTTGCATTGGTCCACGAGGACATACTTTGACAACCCAACTTTTTATATGGAAATAACTAAGTAACGTGCATTTATACAAAGTACATATATACCTATTATAAATTCTAAAAGTTCAAACTATCTTACTATGTTACTTTTTAATGTGGATTTCGTGTCTCGATTAAGCAAATCTTATATAAGTGTAAATAAATAAAATACGACAGGGTGAAACCCGCGCAGAAATAGTTTTTATTGATGCAAATCCTATCTAAAATAGTAACCCTAATTAACGTTAAAGTATAACTCTGCATCAAGTTATCACCCTTTCATAATAAAATAAGTCTAATGTTTCATAAAGATTTTAGGATAATTGTCTCTCTTAGATTATTGTTGATATATATCTATTATGTTATCTATCATGAGGCTTGGTTTTTAGTGTTTTCGGTCCTTCCACCACTTCGCAATTTTTTTACGTTTCAAGAATAAAAGAATAGCAATAATGAGTACTGCCAGACATATGATAACAATAGCAACAATAGCAGCAACGCTGATCGCTTTCTGTGGTCTACCAGGAGGAACATTAACATAATATGGATCACTGTGGGAATTGATCATTTGATACGCCATTAAACTTTGAAATGGTGCATTATAA